GCGATCTCGTCGCGGTCCCGTCGCCGCCCTCGCCGATTTCTTCCGGGGCTCGTGGCGGTTCCGTTCCCGCCGGGCTCGCGGCGGTCCCGCTCGCCAGTCGCTGTCGCTTCGCGGACCCGGCCGAGCAACTCCTGGTCGCTTCCCGGTCCCGTCCCTGCCCCCACGTCCTTGCGAGTCTTCTCCTAGTCCCCTCCCGTTCCCGTCCCTGACTCCCTCGCGGCGGTCCCTTCGCGGTCCGTCCCCGCCGGCCTCGCGGCGGTCCCTTCGCGGTCCGTCCCCGCCGGCCTCGCGGCGGTCCCTTCGCGGTCCGTCCCCGCCGGCCTCGCGGCGGTCCCTTCGCGGTCCGTCCCCGCCGGCCTCGCGGCGGTCCCTTCGCGGTCCGTCCCCGCCGGCCTCGCGGCGGTCCCTTCGCGGTCCGTCCCCGCCGGCCTCGCGGCGGTCCCTTCGCGGTCCGTCCCCGCCGGCCTCGCGGCGGTCCCTTCGCGGTCCGTCCCCGCCGGCCTCGCGGCGGTCCCTTCGCGGTCCGTCCCCGCCGGCCTCGCGGCGGTCCCTTCGCGGTCCGTCCCCGCCGGCCTCGCGGCGGTCCCTTCGCGGTCCGTCCCCGCCGGCCTCGCGGCGGTCCCTTCGCGGTCCGTCCCCGCCGGCCTCGCGGCGGTCCCTTCGCGGTCCGTCCCCGCCGGCCTCGCGGCGGTCCCTTCGCGGTCCGTCCCCGCCGGCCTCGCGGCGGTCCCTTCGCGGTCCGTCCCCGCCGGCCTCGCGGCGGTCCCTTCGCGGTCCGTCCCCGCCGGCCTCGCGGCGGTCCCTTCGCGGTCCGTCCCCGCCGGCCTCGCGGCGGTCCCTTCGCGGTCCGTCCCCGCCGGCCTCGCGGCGGTCCCTTCGCGGTCCGTCCCCGCCGGCCTCGCGGCGGTCCCTTCGCGGTCCGTCCCCGCCGGCCTCGCGGCGGTCCCTTCGCGGTCCGTCCCCGCCGGCCTCGCGGCGGTCCCTTCGCGGTCCGTCCCCGCCGGCCTCGCGGCGGTCCCTTCGCGGTCCGTCCCCGCCGGCCTCGCGGCGGTCCCTTCGCGGTCCGTCCCCGCCGGCCTCGCGGCGGTCCCTTCGCGGTCCGTCCCCGCCGGCCTCGCGGCGGTCCCTTCGCGGTCCGTCCCCGCCGGCCTCGCGGCGGTCCCTTCGCGGTCCGTCCCCGCCGGCCTCGCGGCGGTCCCTTCGCGGTCCGTCCCCGCCGGCCTCGCGGCGGTCCCTTCGCGGTCCGTCCCCGCCGGCCTCGCGGCGGTCCCTTCGCGGTCCGTCCCCGCCGGCCTCGCGGCGGTCCCTTCGCGGTCCGTCCCCGCCGGCCTCGCGGCGGTCCCTTCGCGGTCCGTCCCCGCCGGCCTCGCGGCGGTCCCTTCGCGGTCCGTCCCCGCCGGCCTCGCGGCGGTCCCTTCGCGGTCCGTCCCCGCCGGCCTCGCGGCGGTCCCTTCGCGGTCCGTCCCCGCCGGCCTCGCGGCGGTCCCTTCGCGGTCCGTCCCCGCCGGCCTCGCGGCGGTCCCTTCGCGGTCCGTCCCCGCCGGCCTCGCGGCGGTCCCTTCGCGGTCCGTCCCCGCCGGCCTCGCGGCGGTCCCTTCGCGGTCCGTCCCCGCCGGCCTCGCGGCGGTCCCTTCGCGGTCCGTCCCCGCCGGCCTCGCGGCGGTCCCTTCGCGGTCCGTCCCCGCCGGCCTCGCGGCGGTCCCTTCGCGGTCCGTCCCCGCCGGCCTCGCGGCGGTCCCTTCGCGGTCCGTCCCCGCCGGCCTCGCGGCGGTCCCTTCGCGGTCCGTCCCCGCCGGCCTCGCGGCGGTCCCTTCGCGGTCCGTCCCCGCCGGCCTCGCGGCGGTCCCTTCGCGGTCCGTCCCCGCCGGCCTCGCGGCGGTCCCTTCGCGGTCCGTCCCCGCCGGCCTCGCGGCGGTCCCTTCGCGGTCCGTCCCCGCCGGCCTCGCGGCGGTCCCTTCGCGGTCCGTCCCCGCCGGCCTCGCGGCGGTCCCTTCGCGGTCCGTCCCCGCCGGCCTCGCGGCGGTCCCTTCGCGGTCCGTCCCCGCCGGCCTCGCGGCGGTCCCTTCGCGGTCCGTCCCCGCCGGCCTCGCGGCGGTCCCTTCGCGGTCCGTCCCCGCCGGCCTCGCGGCGGTCCCTTCGCGGTCCGTCCCCGCCGGCCTCGCGGCGGTCCCTTCGCGGTCCGTCCCCGCCGGCCTCGCGGCGGTCCCTTCGCGGTCCGTCCCCGCCGGCCTCGCGGCGGTCCCTTCGCGGTCCGTCCCCGCCGGCCTCGCGGCGGTCCCTTCGCGGTCCGTCCCCGCCGGCCTCGCGGCGGTCCCTTCGCGGTCCGTCCCCGCCGGCCTCGCGGCGGTCCCTTCGCGGTCCGTCCCCGCCGGCCTCGCGGCGGTCCCTTCGCGGTCCGTCCCCGCCGGCCTCGCGGCGGTCCCTTCGCGGTCCGTCCCCGCCGGCCTCGCGGCGGTCCCTTCGCGGTCCGTCCCCGCCGGCCTCGCGGCGGTCCCTTCGCGGTCCGTCCCCGCCGGCCTCGCGGCGGTCCCTTCGCGGTCCGTCCCCGCCGGCCTCGCGGCGGTCCCTTCGCGGTCCGTCCCCGCCGGCCTCGCGGCGGTCCCTTCGCGGTCCGTCCCCGCCGGCCTCGCGGCGGTCCCTTCGCGGTCCGTCCCCGCCGGCCTCGCGGCGGTCCCTTCGCGGTCCGTCCCCGCCGGCCTCGCGGCGGTCCCTTCGCGGTCCGTCCCCGCCGGCCTCGCGGCGGTCCCTTCGCGGTCCGTCCCCGCCGGCCTCGCGGCGGTCCCTTCGCGGTCCGTCCCCGCCGGCCTCGCGGCGGTCCCTTCGCGGTCCGTCCCCGCCGGCCTCGCGGCGGTCCCTTCGCGGTCCGTCCCCGCCGGCCTCGCGGCGGTCCCTTCGCGGTCCGTCCCCGCCGGCCTCGCGGCGGTCCCTTCGCGGTCCGTCCCCGCCGGCCTCGCGGCGGTCCCTTCGCGGTCCGTCCCCGCCGGCCTCGCGGCGGTCCCTTCGCGGTCCGTCCCCGCCGGCCTCGCGGCGGTCCCTTCGCGGTCCGTCCCCGCCGGCCTCGCGGCGGTCCCTTCGCGGTCCGTCCCCGCCGGCCTCGCGGCGGTCCCTTCGCGGTCCGTCCCCGCCGGCCTCGCGGCGGTCCCTTCGCGGTCCGTCCCCGCCGGCCTCGCGGCGGTCCCTTCGCGGTCCGTCCCCGCCGGCCTCGCGGCGGTCCCTTCGCGGTCCGTCCCCGCCGGCCTCGCGGCGGTCCCTTCGCGGTCCGTCCCCGCCGGCCTCGCGGCGGTCCCTTCGCGGTCCGTCCCCGCCGGCCTCGCGGCGGTCCCTTCGCGGTCCGTCCCCGCCGGCCTCGCGGCGGTCCCTTCGCGGTCCGTCCCCGCCGGCCTCGCGGCGGTCCCTTCGCGGTCCGTCCCCGCCGGCCTCGCGGCGGTCCCTTCGCGGTCCGTCCCCGCCGGCCTCGCGGCGGTCCCTTCGCGGTCCGTCCCCGCCGGCCTCGCGGCGGTCCCTTCGCGGTCCGTCCCCGCCGGCCTCGCGGCGGTCCCTTCGCGGTCCGTCCCCGCCGGCCTCGCGGCGGTCCCTTCGCGGTCCGTCCCCGCCGGCCTCGCGGCGGTCCCTTCGCGGTCCGTCCCCGCCGGCCTCGCGGCGGTCCCTTCGCGGTCCGTCCCCGCCGGCCTCGCGGCGGTCCCTTCGCGGTCCGTCCCCGCCGGCCTCGCGGCGGTCCCTTCGCGGTCCGTCCCCGCCGGCCTCGCGGCGGTCCCTTCGCGGTCCGTCCCCGCCGGCCTCGCGGCGGTCCCTTCGCGGTCCGTCCCCGCCGGCCTCGCGGCGGTCCCTTCGCGGTCCGTCCCCGCCGGCCTCGCGGCGGTCCCTTCGCGGTCCGTCCCCGCCGGCCTCGCGGCGGTCCCTTCGCGGTCCGTCCCCGCCGGCCTCGCGGCGGTCCCTTCGCGGTCCGTCCCCGCCGGCCTCGCGGCGGTCCCTTCGCGGTCCGTCCCCGCCGGCCTCGCGGCGGTCCCTTCGCGGTCCGTCCCCGCCGGCCTCGCGGCGGTCCCTTCGCGGTCCGTCCCCGCCGGCCTCGCGGCGGTCCCTTCGCGGTCCGTCCCCGCCGGCCTCGCGGCGGTCCCTTCGCGGTCCGTCCCCGCCGGCCTCGCGGCGGTCCCTTCGCGGTCCGTCCCCGCCGGCCTCGCGGCGGTCCCTTCGCGGTCCGTCCCCGCCGGCCTCGCGGCGGTCCCTTCGCGGTCCGTCCCCGCCGGCCTCGCGGCGGTCCCTTCGCGGTCCGTCCCCGCCGGCCTCGCGGCGGTCCCTTCGCGGTCCGTCCCCGCCGGCCTCGCGGCGGTCCCTTCGCGCTCCGTCCGCGCCGGTCTCGCGGCGGTCGCGTCGCGGTCCCGTCGCCGCCCTCGCCGATTTCTTCCGGGGCTCGTGGCGGTTCCGTTCCCGCCGGGCTCGCGGCGGTCCCGCTCGCCAGTCGCTGTCGCTTCGCGGACCCGGCCGAGCAACTCCTGGTCGCTTCCCGGTCCCGTCCCTGCCCCCACGTCCTTGCGAGTCTTCTCCTAGTCCCCTCCCGTTCC